CAGATCTGGCCCCCAGCGACTTTTTTCTGTTTCCTAGGCTCAAAGTTTGGTTCGGAGGACAGAAATTTTCATCGAACGAGGTCATCGCATCCGTAGACGCCTATTATTTTGCAAAGCAAGACGCTCAGTATTATTTGAATGGATTAAAGGGGTGGGAGCATCGCTGGAAAAAATGTATCGACTTAAAAGGAGACTATGTGGAAAAATAAAATTGAATTTGACCGAAAAATTACTTATTTCTATGTTAGGCTCAAAACTTTTCAGACGATCCTCGTATTACGCTACTGAAAAAAAATGACATAGTAACAGCATTGTTTTAATTGAAAATAATTTTATTAAATTACAATAACACTATTAATGATACAAATACATCATGCTCTTGCTTTAATAAAATTTTATTTGTTTCATTAATAGTGTTATATGAACTAAAATTATTTTTAATTAAAATAATATTTATTATTTACAGGTTCTTAAGATACTTATTAATAGACTGCAGATATTTATGCAAAATACTTAACTGAATATTAACCATTGGACAGTTTTAGCAGTCGATCATTGTTCGTTAAAGAGTTATTAAAAAGTATTATAAAAAGTTTGAGATTGTGTTATCTGTAAATATGCAATTTATGCAAAATATTCAGTTTACTACTTTAATAGTGATACTTATTATCACTATTAAATGGACGATCAATTTAATTTGAAATTAATTCAACTTCAGTTTGCGATTGCGTTTCAAATCCGACAAATCATATCGATACGCAGTTTATAAAGTTGAAATAATTTGTAAAATAATATATTTCGCATTTAGTTATTATTAAGCACAAAGATCCGCTTTAATTGGAAATAGAATTTCTATTAAAATATAAATGCTGTTGATAACATAATTCTTTCCAGTGTATAATTTTAGTACTGAAGGTGAATACCGTAATCTTAATTTTAAATGTGTCCCAATTATCAATAATCTCCTCTAAGCTTTAATATGCGTGGAAATCTGCATAGGAAATCTTCTACTATAAACGTGCAAACGATATTTCCGCTATTTATCGCGCAGGGGACGAAGTTAAACGTATCGCAGATGATCCTCGTATGGATCGGCTATAATTTGAATAATAATACTTGAGAGAGACACAGATTATGCCGATCAAGTTAGGTACAAAAAACAAGTCATATGTCCTAACGTTAAGTCGCACCAATCTGTCACCTGTTCGTTAACATTCTTTTTCGATTATGAGGGAGGATAGAAGAGTTCCGCCGACACATCGACGATCTCGCACGCGGAAAATATACGCCGATCAAAAATGCCTTTATCGTCGCTTTGGCGTTTACAAAAATTTTTATCTAAATTTATCCAATAGATACGAATAATCGAGATATAATGTGTACATACGTACTTGTATCTCGACTGTAGGTTAAAAGAACGATTTCAGTGAGCGAGCGAGCTAGACGGTCAATGTTCATTTCTCCATTAGTCATCTCTCGTTAATAATCATTGTCATAAGAGACGTTATCGTTTCCGTTTATTAAAGGAAAATGTCAGCCTTATCTATGAATGGAATTGATAGAGAAAACTTATTTCTACATTGTCGCGTAGAACGTTTTAAAACTCTACCCTAATTTCGATCATTTTTCGACCAAAATGTCAACGTCGATTTATGATATTTCGGAATTTTTTGGCCATAAAAACAGAACACTCGTAAATTTTTTACTTTCCTTAACGAAAGACTAATAAAAAAAAATTAAATTTTTCTTCGTATAAGTATTTAGGAAACAATTTCTTTTCAAACTCAAGATCAGACAAAAATTTAAAACTGTCGGTTATAAAACATAAAATTAAAGAAAAGTCTATTCTAAAATATTTTATATTCTAGAATAAGAAAAAAATATTTTCTACATATAAATCAGTGACCCCAAAAATCCTTAGATACCGAATTTTATGCCAATCCATCAACATTTTGAATTTTGGCCAAGATTTCGGGTCGTCTGGCCCACTGTGCAAAGATTAGAATTGGCGGTTCTACAATAAAATATAAAATTGATTCATTTTAGAGAATACTCTATTCTAGAAATAGATAAAATTATTTTTCTATATATTTATATATTTTATCCAGAAAAAAGAATTATTATCAATGCGATAAATATTCCAAAAGTAGCCTCAAAAGCGAAGAGGAGCGACACAGCTTTTTTCGCTCCTTTACAGCTTCCTTTACTCCAATATCTTTTTTCTTCACGCTCGACGAGAGTTTAACTCCGATCGACAAAATACTATTATTTAATATCTGCCGGCGACCGATAGGCTTACCGCGCTACGTGCGAGAACATTTGATCTCTGATGCATCAGTCGTTATACAGATAAAGAGGCATTACAAGTAAGCACTTGGCCGCAAGCTCTTTGCTCCAAGGGCAAGAAGGAAAGGAGACTCGCAAAGCTGGGGAGAGAAAGGGGATCTCCGGATCGCGCGGATCGACTGTCTCGCCGGTCCCGCCGTTTCGAAACAAGTACAGCCGCATGAATTGACAGCTAATTGCCGGTGATGAGCACACATCAAAGACTTCGACGATGCGATGCGAGGACGCGCTGCTCTGGCGCGTTGGGTCCCGTCACGTGACGTCCCGTCGTCTCATGCGGGATGAATGAGCTTGTTCCCATTACGAACGTACGATTCTTTACGTTGCGGGACGCTCAATTGAATTTATTGTACCTACGTGTATATATTGTCCCGTTTGCCGGTTTGGTTTACGAATAATCGCGCGATCGATGGTAGACGACGCTCTTTCGCTCAAGTTCGACGATTTCTCCTCATCCTTTTCCTTTTCGATGTTGCTAAATAGAACGGGCTGTAGTTATTGATGATTTGCACGGGATATCGAATATGCGATCGATAAAAATTTCGTTAACTAAAAATACTGATATGTAATAATTTATACTATTTAAAGAAAATCAAATTAAAGACGAAATTTGTGAATTTAATTTTGAGGAAAGGAATAAATAGAAACACTTCGTTTAGGTGTTATTTATTATTATATTTAAATAACTAATATATTTTAAGTATAATGACTCTAAAAATAAATTCTAATAATGGTAAATTAAATCATCACTAAGAGCCAGCACGGATATTAGTGTACAGATATTCACGATATGCAAACGTTTCGACCAAAAGTTCGAAGATTCAAGTGTAAACGAATGCATTCGTTGAATGATCGATTCTTACTTTCATCATTCTACACATGACTGGCAAAAATATCGTAAAAGCTTGAAGCTTTCTCTACAAAATTTTTTGTTACTGAATTGTTGCAAATTAAATAAAATGAATACTTTGACTTTGATTGCTCATAACTAGTGTTCTTTGTCCGTATAAATTCAAAATGAAACTCGAATGGACTGTATAGTTAAAAAATTCGAGTTCCATTTTGAAATTTTCAGGGTTACTTCATAATTAAAATGGGAATATGATGATATTTTTACTATCTCGGAAAATTTTGCATTTTTTTTATACGACGGTTTCGAAATAATTATTTGAAATTTGCATAAGCGACGTTTTTTATAAAATTATGCAACTTACATGCGTCAATATATAAAAAATCACATTTTTTTTCGCGATACACGTGTCTCATATTTTTATCTGTAGAATAGCTATATAAAATGTTAGCAAATTTTTAAAAAAATCAAATAACGATGTTTCAAAGGCCCAATTTGACGTGGAATGCCTCATAGATTGTAAGTATTATATATACCAACAAAGTTATTTAAGGAGAAAACATGTAAAATATTAACTTACTTTCAATGGTATATGCAAATTAGTACAAATTCAGTTGTGTTAATTTTTGCCATTGTGTTGTTTTTTCTTATGATCCTGCTAGCTTAAATAGACTTAAACTATCAGCGTTATTGTTTTCTTGGAAATGACACATAAAATAAAATTGTTTTTGGCAGTACAAAATAGTACAAATTCAATCGTATTCGATACAATTTAGTACAAAATGAGTACTAAAAATTCCGATAGGTCCGATTTGGTTCTGCTAGCCTTTATACAGCTAAAGAAAAAGAGGAAAGACAAACCGTGTAAGAAGTTTAATACCGGAGTATAATGCCGGAAAAAGAACAAATTTCTTATAAGGATGTTACTACGCACGTATTGCCGTATGTCAAAGTTTGCAAGTATGTTCATATGTTATTTGGCTGCAGCATAAAATAGACTCGAGAATTTGTCCATCCTAAAGCTAATCAGAGATGGAACATGACATGTATAGAACATTTCGTGATATAAATACTTTAATTTTTGTAAGATTATTTAATTGATTTACAACTGAATTTAATTAGGACGTAAGTCAAATTAGCATTTTCGAGTTAAAAAATCAACGAAATTGAAAATAAAAATTTGTAAATATTATATCTGTGTCGCAATTAAACGATAACATTTTAATATATATTTTAACTAATATATAATACTACATAACTTTCTTAGAATTTAATAGGAACGTTTAATCAAAAAATTTAAGGATGCATATAAAAAATTGTAAATAATAAATAAGGATCTCTCTCCAAATTCATCGAATGTTCTCTAAAAATCGATTACAAACTTATCAAAAATTTGTCATTAAAATTAACGTTGAAGATTTTTAAGCACATTTTATATCAGGTATCTTCATAGTTCCATTTACTTTTTGAGCACCTATTAATATTCAGTATATTAATTTTCTTAAATTTATGCAATCGGAAATGCAAGGATTTTTGTAAATTGAAAAACCTTAATGATGTAAATAAAACAAGTTCATTCTAAGGAAATTTTTTTAATTTACTTTAATTTTAAGAATTAGCTTAAGAATTAGTATAATCTTAAGTTGTAATTTAAACCTAATTGTGAAATTGCTTTGTTAGTAAATACTTAGAAGTTATGAAAAAATTATATCATTTTTATCGAAAAAACAATGTTCCTAAAATACTTCAAAAATCTATATAATCAGATAAATGTATAAAACACATTTCACGTAACACTACGTTTATAAATTAAAAATAAATATTCTCACATGCTAAGTCTGGCAATGCAAAGGAGCTTAGATAACTGATTACTTATTTATTTACACTATTTAGACGTTCTCTTGTAGATTGAGCAAGTCTAAATAATTGGGAACACTGTTACCGTTAAGTACAAGGCATTTCTATGTACGTGTGTGTCCACTTACAATTTACATAGACAGAACAATAATGGAATAAAAGCGCCGATGGCTACAAAAACAGGTAACATTATAGACGAATCGTCTATCAAGTACGGGTCAGGTGTCCTGGGCCCGCTCGTGTGTCTACTACGCATAGTAGTTTCTTCCTCTTCTTCTTGCATACCATGATAATCCTCTGGATCAGGCGGTATCGGTCCCAATTGTGGTACATCTAAAAAATATAGTACTCACATGAATGTTTTGGCTGCAAACAAATTCTTTAACAAAAGAAAATATACGAACCATCCAAAATACCTTTCACAACAGCTATGGCATTTATTTTTGGATTGTCTCTATAACCCTGTAAAATTACAAAATTGATGAATGCTATTAAATATATATATATATTTTTTTTTTCAACAAGAGACAGTGTAACACAGCGATCATTTCATCTTGTTTAACCATTGACTGCAGTCATTTGAATTATATCAAAAATGATACAATCTATACGATTGGTACTATAAAGTTCTAAATTGTCGTAATAATTGTAATAGAGTCTCGAATTCACTGCATTGCACTGTGTCATCTGTGCCTTTTGAAAAACAAATAATATGTAAAGAAATATATTAATGCATAGCATATGTAGCATACAGTAAAAATATATTAATCAACTACCTTTATAAATTCTACTCTTATCTTCCCTGCAAGAATGTCTGATTCTTCATCATTGTATATCAACTTTCCACCCTGTACCCTAAACGGTACATATTCGTCATGTGCAACACCTCGACCAACTCTCTCAAAGATATCTAAATCGGTGACTACAGTATGATCGCCATTCAGCACGACATCGAAGACCTAAAATGAAATAAATTACATATTTGATCGAGAGATTTCTAACAGGACAAATCTGTTTTCACAAAGAGGGTCACCTTCATGTTTGGCGAGTTGAAGTACACCTCACAAAACTTAAGTATCATAACGTAATTCCCATCCTGGCTGATCGGGATGTCGTATCCAAAGGTGTTGTGATGATAACGCTCGGTTTGATATAATATCTGGTCCACGTTGCCGATGCGCCCGATGATGAGCTGCTTACCATAATCGGAGGCCGTGCCGACCTTCCCCATAAGAGGATCCCTGGCATAATGTAACCCATAACTATCCGTGTGCGATTCGCCACCTGCGTTAATCGCGTATATCACCTCAAGGCAGTACGAGCCAGAGGCGAATACCCCGAGCAGGAACAGCAAGAAGATCGGGAGGTCATCGTTCCACATTGGCAATCGCATTCTTAGAGCTGTCATGCATTCGCGACTTTAAGATGAGATTTAACCCGTTCACCGGCACAGCTGTGTACTCATAACTCGTCCTACGGGTTCTGCTTGCTGTTCAGCGGATTGTTGATGTTGTCGTCCGGCACGCTTCGTGTCCGGGATCGCGTGGACTCGCATGGAAGAGCGAAAAGACTGAGCTTATCTGCTTATATCACGCGCAACCGAACCCACATGGCACGTCACTCTATCCCGCTAACGGAAAAAATATTGTAGTCCAGCTGTGCGGCCCGAGATATCGCAACGTTATCCAGTTAGATCGCTGACTTACCGACGTGACACGAGATAGTAGTTCGTGCAATATCGAGAACGTCCGTCAGAGGACGCTACCTTCTCATATTTCTTCGACTTTCCGCTTCGAAGACAGACCGCATAATCGGATAAGCTCAGGCGTTTTTTCGTTATCCAACCAGAAGCTACCACAACTAAGGCTTCAGGGATCAGAAGACGAAGATAGCCGTGGTTGCTTCTGGTTGCACAACGAAAAAACGCCACTGGATTTGTATATCTTATGGAATTATTCAATTATTCCCTACATTTCTATTGTATTTCTAAGAAAAATGGAATAATTTCGATCGGAATCCGATTTGTTCCGTGACATGTGTCCAGACTGTCTCAGCTGACCTGCACAAAGTACGAACCAAATTTTTTGCGTTTTTAATGAAACTGACCTTTGAACTTACCCGATCAGAAATTTATGATTCCGTATCGAATCTGCTGAAGAAGATCAAGAACTATTAAAAAGAGAGGAGAGAAAGATTTAGGCTTAACGATTATAAGTCTACTCGAATTTAATATATTGTATACATTTACATGCATTATTATGTGAGATTTTCAGTAATTTCGTTAAATTTATGCTTTTATATGTCGTAAACGTCGACTCAGGATCGATATAACTTTTATGTATCTATTCGTGACAGAACGTGATAGGTATCGTTCTAGTTCCATTCTCTATCTATAGTATCTTTAACACGGAAAATCAAATTCATATTAGAACAAATTCTAACAAAATCGATTCGGAAATAGATAATTCGTAACTTCGGTTTAAAACCACGGAACCCCGCGTGAGAATCGAAATGGAATATAATTTCGCTAAGCTTGTACTTACAATAAGCGATTACTTGACAGTCTTTTTTTGCACAATGTCGGAAATAAAATTGATTAAAAAATAAAATTATATCGGCATCAATCCTCACGTTAAATCTTTTCATTTTCAATACAAAAGAGTATATTTATTGACTCATAATAAGGCAATAAATGTGATAATAACATACAAACTTTAAATTTAATTTAATTCTATACCTTTATTTTTACTACTTTATCATATTTACTCATCTCATTATCAATAATTGATATACGACAAACGCACTGACAATATGATAAACGAACCGAAATAATGTTGCGTTTATTTCACGCGCGCAATGTATAAATATTTTAGATAAGATTCAGGAAAGAGAAACGACTGACTTCCATCACAATCTTTCTTTTTATACTCCTACATCAATTTGATCACCGAATTTATTGCTATTTACAAGCGACATTGGCAATTTGCCGTCAGAGATAAAATCGTAGTCTTATTATATCGTTAATCGTTACTATACTTACTTGAGGCCTCTCCGTTTATTTTAAGTAATAAGGAATTTCAATGAAAATCAAAAATACCGCTCGCGTAAGACATATTTATATACTTCTTACTTTTTGCAAAAAAATTGATTAGAAATAATTGATAGCTGTAACAAAACTAAATTGCATTAAGAATTTCATTTTTTATAAACACATTATGATTTGCTTAAGAGCCTGCGTACAATAGAGGAACAAGAATTAGATATTAAGATTTCAACCTATCAAAAACCGTATATTCCGATGTAATCAGTTTCTGATAGGTTAAAATCTTAATATCTAATTCCTGTTCCTGTATTGTGCTCAGGCCCTTACTATCGCTTTTATGTGTATATACTATTGTAAAGTGGATGCGTTCTCCGATAATAGATTATTGATAACATGCAGGTACAAATCCTTGAATGAGTAATTGATCAAACTCTAAATTAAAATTTTGTCAAAGCAAAATTCGCTTGAAATTAAAGGAGAAGGAAGATAAAAAATTACTCGTTATTTTCATAATTGTTTACAAAATATTTTCCAATATTTAAACAATTATGAAAAACAAGACATTTTATCTCATTTCTCCTATATTTTCCAATAATTTCAAGTGCATCTTGCTTTGACAGAATCTTAATTTAGAGTTTGGTCATTCAAGTACTTAATATCTATTAAAAATAATGAGATAATTCAGGAAGAGGAAGCACGAAACTGCGAATTTTTGTTAAGGAAAACAACTTCGTGTGGCATCGAAGAGCAAATTTTAAATGACTGTACAATTCACCTTTTATTTTTTAGTCTGAATGTTCAAGGAATTCTTTTGGCTTTCATTGAGACGAAGGTTGAATATTCCGGAACACCCTATATATATATTAAAAGAAAGGACGAGGACATCTAAACGTGATCAAGCGAGAGAGAGAGAAAGAGAGAACAAGGTCAAGACGATGTTTTCTTTGTGCCAAAATGAACGAAAGATTTTAATACAAAGAACACATTGCAGTACAAACATTTATAATAAAAATCTCGATGAAATACATATATTAAAATAATCGAAGATGTTTCAATAAATTTTCTTTATATTGGTATTTTAATATTTTTATATTGAATAAGTTACACAAATTTATTGTTAACAAAGAATATTGAGAATTTCCGATGATTCAAATAAGACAAAAAATTGAAAAAACGATGGAATAGTTTTAGGAAATATCCAAAGACCGAAATATATGGAACGTCGATCACAAAAAAAATAAACACAAAAGATCCTTTCTATTATATTCCATAGACAGGTATATAAATACCTTTATAAAAATAAATGTATTTATATTTTCAAATAATTCTCTATAAATAGATGTATTTATATTTTAGATATATTTACAACGTCGCTTAATATATTTACTACTTTTAAAGTTACGTGTAATTATTAAATTTAAATTCAACAAAATTTTTACATTTATTAAAACTTTTTAATCCATTTTTTTAAACGTATGGATATTTTATTTTTGAATTTCATGTAAGACATTATTCCAAGAGAACTGGCCCAACTAATTTTCACAAAATCCGCCAAAACCATTTCGAAAATCTTTCATAAATTTTTAATAGTTTAATATAATTCTTGAAATATGTATATTTTAAGACTGTTCAATACGTGGAAAGTTCGTTCACTCGTAGGTCTCATTAAAAACTATTTTAAGAACTTTTATTTTGGTTTACATATGAAAAGCTTCAAAAGCAGAGGGATCGTTCAATATCGATTCTACATTTCACAAATAATTAAAAGATTATAATCAACGTGAAAAAGACTGGATGTTAGTACTTCTTCTTTCGCTCGCCTCGATTTACAAAGCCGAAAAACATGAGGGTTACTCTCCCGCTGTTTCAGACAGTACGTATTATGCTTTAAGGGGAGAGAAGACACGAAGGGCATCGCTGTACTTCAGCTTTCTTAGGGACGCCCAATGTTCCCAAGAGTCCCAAGACGATTCGATGACCGTTACTTCAGTGTTCGATGCATCTGGCTCGAGTTTGGCTTAGCAACACCTTGACGGCGGGAAAGCACATGTCGATACGCGTCAAATAGCGCAGACTTCTTGAAATATTCAAGTTTCTGCAGATTTCACACGTGGACTAACCGACTCTCGGTATCGACTGTTTAAATAAATAACAATAACGATTCTTTTATCATTATAACATAGTCTTTCTTTTCTATAGTCTACCGCAATGACGCGCAACTTGCGGCCCACCTGTGAATTTTTTGCTACCCGCCGTTTCACAGCTGAAAATATAAAATCATATTTTTTTTCCCATACAGCACTGGAACTTGTCGCAACATTGCAACGTTTGCAATGTTACTGCAATATTTCTGGAACGTTGCAATATTGCTGCAATATTGCTGGAATAATATATGTTGTATGGACTACTTTATGTAAACATTATGTGGTGTATTTGCAAGATTTTCTCTACTTTTAAAAATGACTCTTTGAAAATGATCTTTATATGTCCAGTTTCACAATTTGCGGAGAATTGGAAAGAGATAAGGAATAAGTTGAACTTCGGCTAAAAAGTTGACCATAAATTGTGAAATCGAGCCTAAAAAAAGAGATTGCGTACCACTGATATAATGCATATAACATCGACATGAAAAGAATGTAAAGTGTAGATTGAGTCGGAAATCCAAGCAGGGGATTCTTAAGAAGAAAAATGTAGATATTTCCTAAAGCTATTCAACTATTGCATCATTTCATTGGTTTTTTCATCATCTTGTCCCAATCATCGGAACTTTCCCAACATTCTTTGTTATTAACGAGAGATTTGTGTGACTCATTCAAAATATTATGTTTTGTATTTCTCTTATTATTATTATTTTTAATACAGACAGGAGTAAAATACGTAATATTTTTTCATCCTTTCTGTTTCACATCCTTTTTTACATATTTCTTTAGGATACGCTATCGATATAAAATATATTACACAGATAATGTCAGATAAATGTCAATTAACGTTTCGAAACAGCTTTCTAAGTTATAAATATGCACGTAAAAGTAAACAGTTCGATAGCGCGAGCTAATGGATAAAAAAGTAATTACAAGAATTACAAGCATTTACAGGTATTAAGGTATTCGTATAATTATCAAGAAGTAATATTGTAATTACTTCTCTAATATTAATAATCAAGCGAAATGTAAGTTTCGTTTTCTCATTTTAGTTTTTTTACTTGTCGTTGAAAAAAAAAGAGGAAAAAAGCATGAGGTTCTCACATGTTTTCTTGATATGCTTCTCTTTTTCTATCGTAAACTATACCTATTTCTACAGCTTCGCAATAAACGCTCGGGCACCTTCGAGAGACACGTGGTCAAAATTAAATCATTATCGATCGCGCGAATCGCTGCTTCCTTCTTTTTATACGCGGACGTAAACTGTAAACCCGACACGCGTGTTGCTGGCATTGGAAGCGCAATTTTGCTGAATATCGGAATCGACATTATGTCAGTTTTTCTTAGGAAAATATCCATGACTCAACGCATAATTTTTCAATGTTTTCTCCTTGACTGATGCATTATATTTTGAGTGAAACAATTCGAATGTTTAATTAACAAATGTTCGCTTATAATCGAATATATATAACCGAATATAACAAAAAATAATTTTACTTTTCTAAATATTTATTTAGAGAAGTAAAATTATTTTTGATTATATTAACTAAACATTTAATTGGAATTATTTCCTTCAACATTTGATAGCCATTACATAGATTCTTGATTAATAAATTCTTTTTCAGTATACTAAAAATGTATAGCATACGTAACGCGAACTATAGATTTTCTGTATTGGCAGTTGAATTGTGTATCTGATCTAGTGAAACGAAATTAACAATATTTTGTTAGAATTGGAAAATTTCATATTCAATTTCAATATTTTATTTTAATGTGCAATATATGTATTTAAAATATTTAATTAACTTAAAATATTCTTCGAATTAATTTAATTTATCTTCAATCAATTAAAAATATTTTTCAAGTGATATTTTATTAAAATAGAATATGACAAATCCCAGACATTGTACTACTTTATATCTTTACAGCTCACAAATACAATTTATCAAACGTAATTTATAGTTTTAGCAATGTCATATTTGATCTGTCATATTTTAAAATTTCATGTTGATTCTCGTAAATTACCTGAAGTTTAAAGCAATTACCTCATATATGTATATCATTCTAGTAAATTCTCCAAGTTAAACAGCAATTTTTGTACAATAAACTAAAAGAAACTTACAGTATCGAATCATTAAAAAAAAAATACAACTTTGGATGTGTAAACATCAATTTATTCACACAAACATACACACAAAAGTAACCTAGCGTGAAAAAAACAAACTCGAGAACGTTCCATGTTTCATACTCGACTTTCTCGCAGTTTTCCGGAGCTATGAGCTTTTTACGTAAGAACATGATAAAATTTTCTGCATATAACGACAAGACAATTATGGACTAATAATCATTGTGAGTCATACGAAATCGAGCTCGGTAATCATCACGATCGAGAGGGGAGATCATGAGAGACGGGATTTCGTCATTAACAATTAGAACAAGTAGTATTACAGAAATTTTATAAATTTGCTGATACTGAAGGACAGTAATTGATCATTTATTTTAAATATTAAAAGCATTGTTGTTCAGTACTTCTAATATTCCAAATAAGTAATTAATACTGTCTTCTAATAAATTATCCATTAATAGATTTCTATTCCCGTTTCTAGCGATGTAATTTAATTTCCATCTCGTTTCAACTAACTCTTCATCTTTTTCTAGTTCTAAGAATTAGAAAAAGATAAAGACTAATGAACAGAACCAAGTTTCTTAGCATTTTCCACTGGAAAAATGAGTGCAATTAAATGCAAATTAATTCATTCTTTCAATATATATTAATAAATAATTTAACCCTTTTAATTATATTTTATGTCGTCGGATAACCTTATAATCTTAAAAGCATCAAATTATTTATCAATGAAAATATGTAAACCAATCTGCATTCAATTGCACCAGTATTGCACTAGTTTTCCCAGGGAATAAAACTATTATATTAGACCGGAATCAGACTATGGATTGAAGATTGAGATTGAAATTTCACCAATTAAGTAGAAAAAAATTTTGGCTCCTTTTGTTCCGATTGATCAAACTTCAATCTTTCATCTTCAATTTTATTTTTCAACGCGTAATCTGATTCCGGCCTTAATGAAACCGAGTCTAACGGTAAAAACGCGACGCTAGGCAGAGGATGACGTAATTCGACGCGTCGCCGAGGGAATTCGTCCCCCAAGAAACCGAGAATGAGCGATTCACGGTTTCCCTCGCGTCGATAGTCGATTCGTTGACGTCACTGGCACACACGTGCGAATTCCGTGGAACCTTGAAAGAGGCTTGGAGCACGCGGTTCCATCGCGAGCGCGCCAGTAGTTTCTAGAATTCGTTCAGTGCGTCCCTCCTCGTTTCACGAACCCCTCCATCCCACTCCCGACTTCCCTCGACTTCCTGCCGGAAACCGGAACCCCGTGGGCAAGTGATCCCACTTTTACCCGCCCTTTCTCGCCGATCGATCGATCGACGCGCGACCGCCGCGCGATATCGTACGATCGTAGCAGAATTCAAGAATCGTTTCGATTAGCCGCGTACGAAGAGCTCGACGAGATTCGCTCGTACGCTCGCGCGAATTCGCGACTCGCGCGATGGCGCGAATGGCGCGATCAATAAGCGATTGAGCGCGCATGATAAGCGACGCTCACTGCCGTTTAGTTGACTCCGGCGGTGCAGGAGTGCAGACCTGGTGCGGGCCCGGGGTCGATGCCTCCCGACCAATCGCGCGCCTACGCAAACCTGCGTGAACGGAAGCCAGCGCGGTGATTCGCCGGCTGGACAGGCCGAATGAGTCTGCGCGGAAGGAACGTTCCAGAAGCTTGCCGCATCAAAGTCTTTATATACAGAGGGCAGGGGCGCGGGCTCGTCACTCGCGCTGTGAATCGTGAATGAGGAACTTCTTCGTTTGTCCTACGGACGGAAATTTTACGAGGCTTTCCAAATAATTCTAAGAGGTACGTTTCCATTCTCTTCGATCCTCGTGGTTCACTTCTCACGGGCGAGGAAACGAGAGGCGTGAGAAGACGATAATTCGTTAGTATCGTTGTAATTATCGTTAGTCATATAGATCGTCCACGTTTTTACCTTGCAGAACCCGAAGAAAATGGCGAAGGCACCCGCGGTCGGTATCGATCTTGGCACAACTTACTCCTGCGTTGGCGTCTTCCAACACGGCAAGGTCGAGATCATCGCCAACGATCAGGGCAACCGCACGACGCCCAGCTATGTGGCCTTCACGGAAACCGAGCGTCTCATCGGAGACGCCGCCAAGAACCAAGTCGCCATGAACCCCAACAACACCATTTTCGGTTAGTTCCCGCTACTTCTCTTCGTGCTATGAAGGTTTTCTCCTTTGTCGGATATGCCTTCCTAATTAAGGCGCAGTGCTATTATTTGAGGCTTTCAATTTTTTTTTAATTTTTTTTTTATTTATAAATCCAAGTTATATAATAAAGATTTTATGAAGACGTAACAATGAAAAAAATTATATATATAAAATTAATTTAATCGATTTAAGGCTGCAAAAGGCGAGATAATCGGCATTAATCTGTTTATGGATATAAATTAAAATTCATATGGGAGGAGAGTCGGAATCGTGAACTTGGAACTATTCCATTTGACTGCTTTTAATCGAAACCATCGCGTCATTTCCTTACAAAAATTCTAGTCAAATTCCGAAATTAGACTGTGACTCGACGGATTTCTCAAGAATCTACTTGAATCACGTCATTCGCGTCGATATCTTTGATGATATATCTTACCTTTCCATATAGATATGCCGCGTGCGTCAAGCTTATCTCTTTCACGCCTGTGATAGATTCACGTGACAAATCTCGGATGTTACATGGAATAAAATTTTCCATATAGTAACATCGTTTATTTATCATTCTTGGAATTTTTATGGCATTAAATGCAAAAAAAAGCATTGATAATTATAATTTGAAAACGTAAATGTATATTCGATAAATGAGTAATGATTTATTACTGGTTTGAAATAAGAAATAGAAATAATTATAGTTACATATTTAATTATTTATATTTATTTATATTTATTATTACACGAATTACAATACATTTATTTAAGACCTTTATTTATTTCTTACTTATTTCTCTCTCAATAATTCTGATAGTTTATCAAATATGCGAATAAATATTTGATACAAATATTTTTATTTCTTTAGATTTTTAATTATTTATATTTGTATTTATTTATTATTTCTAAATATTATAAATATAAATAATTAAAGAAATAAATATTTTTCTCAAATAAATGTAAAAGTATTTTGATATTTAAGTGTACACATTTGATAAACTAGTTGAATTATTAATTGTGAGATAAACAACAAATAAATATATTTTTAAATAAATGTAAAAGTATTGTAATTTATGTTAAATATTAACATGAACATTTGATCAATTAGTAAATTTGTTATTAATCATAATAAACAAAACAAATTTAAATATTCTTAAATGTAAAAGTATTATAATACATTATTACATTATTATATTCTTTGTCTGTCATATTAAATAGCTATTTGGAAATGGTCAGTGTAACTAACTCTATTTTTTTCTTTTTCAATTAGATGCCAAAAGGTTGATCGGACGTCGCTTCGAGGATCCGACCGTCCTCGCTGACATGAAACATTGGCCCTTCACCGTGATAAACGATAGTGGTAAGCCAAAGATCCAAGTACAGTACAAAGGAGAGACGAAGACTTTCTTCCCCGAAGAAGTGAGTTCGATGGTCTTAGTAAAAATGAAGGAGACTGCAGAAGCATACTTAGGCAAGACTGTCACCAACGCTGTGATCACCGTCCCCGCTTACTTCAACGACTCGCAGCGTCAGGCAACCAAGGACGCTGGTACCATCTCGGGCTTGAACGTATTGCGTATTATCAACGAGCCCACTGCCGCCGCGATTGCATACGGTCTCGACAAGAAGGCAACCGGCGAGCGAAACGTCCTTATCTTTGATCTCGGTGGTGGCACTTTTGATGTGTCCATCCTGACCATCGAAGATGGTATCTTCGAGGTCAAGTCCACGGCTGGAGATACTCATTTGGGTGGCGAGGACTTCGATAATCGCATGGTCAATCACTTCGTGCAGGAATTCAAGCGTAAATACAAGAAGGATTTGACTTCGAACAAACGCGCACTTCGTCGTCTGCGCACGGCCTGCGAACGTGCCAAGCGCACCCTGTCGTCCTCCACCCAGGCCAGCATCGAGATCGATTCGTTGTACGAAGGAATCGATTTCTACACCTCCATCACCCGAGCTCGTTTCGAGGAACTCTGCGCCGATCTCTTCCGTGGTACTCTTGAACCCGTTGAGAAGTCGCTGCGCGACGCCAAGATGGACAAAGCTCAAATCCACGATATCGTTTTGGTCGGAGGCTCTACGCGAATTCCCAAGATTCAGAAGCTTCTGCAGGACTTTTTCAATGGCAAAGAGCTCAACAAATCTATCAATCCTGATGAGGCTGTGGCATACGGTGCGGCAGTACAGGCAGCTATCTTGCACGGTGATAAATCCGAGGAGGTGCAAGACTTACTTTTGCTCGACGTCACTCCGCTCTCTCTGGGTATTGAGACTGCCGGCGGTGTCATGACCGCTCTCATTAAGAGGAATACCACCATCCCAACGAAACAGACTCAAACCTTTACAACTTATGCCGACAATCAACCTGGCGTGTTGATTCAAGTGTACGAGGGTGAGCGCGCCATGACCAAGGATAACAACCTACTAGGCAAATTCGAGCTTAGCGGTATTCCACCAGCACCTCGTGGAGTTCCTCAGATTGAGGTGACGTTCGACATCGATGCGAACGGTATCCTCAATGTATCCGCCGTAGACAAGTCTACTGGCAAGGAGAACAAGATCACTATCACCAATGATAAGGGTCGACTCAGCAAAGAGGATATTGAAAGAATGGTGAACGAGGCAGAGAAATACCGCAGTGAGGACGAGAAGCAGAAAGAAACGATCTCTGCTAAAAATGGTCTCGAGTCTTACTGCTTCAACATGAAGAGCACAGTCGAGGATGAAAAGCTGAAGGACAAGATCAGCGCGTCAGACAAGCAGACGATCCTGGACAAGTGCAATGACATCATCAAGTGGCTCGACGCGAATCAGCTGGCCGACAAAGAGGAATACGAGCACAAGCAGAAGGAGCTTGAGGGCATCTGTAACCCCATCGTTACGAAACTGTACCAGGGTGCTGGTGGTATGCCCGGTGGCATGCCAGGTGGTTTCCCTGGAGCTGGTGGTGCCGCTCCCGGTGGAGCACCCAGCAGCGGTGGTGCATCTGGACCCACCATTGAGGAAGTCGACTAAAAAGGATCATCCCTGGCTTTGTCTCGCCACTGCCCATCTTTAGTTTATTCGTTTTTCTTTTTTTCTTATCAAGGAATGCGTGTTGCATGCCCATCACCGTGGTCACCTTCTGTGCAATACACATTCCTTAATAAGAAAAAATAAACGAACACGATTAAGAAAAAAAACGAATAAACGAACATAATTATTACACAGCTGCGGTCTTTGCTCTAATCATTCCTTACATACTTTTTTCTAGCGTCGTCTTTTAAACAAGTTCCTCTATTTCATCATTTTCTACTTTGAAGTAAATGTATTCTTTATAATTTATTTATTTTATTATCGTACTGTACTTACAGTTTATTCTCGAGACGATTCTGTTATTAATTTTCTATGTTCTAAACTTCGTAAATATAGAGCGATTACCAAAATTTAATATTGTATTCTTCTTTTATCCCGATAATAAATATATAAAATAGTACGATAATTTGATACAATCAAATTACAATAATATATGTATGAATAATAACCGTACTTCAACTATTGGAAGATGCCGATTCTTCCTGTTTGTGGCTATGTTCCAATATACACTCAGTAATGAAAGTTTATAGTTAATATCATGGTGGAATTTACCATAGTTAAATGTATAGTGTACAGTGCATATTTTCAGTATTGACAGTGCATGTCGGAACACAGCATGTATATAATATTTGTAATAATATCAGAAGATAGAAAAAAAGATCAATAATTTAAGGATTAGAAGTTTAATTTTATCTCGACTTCTCGCTTTAATTCATGCCAGTAGAACGAACGCAGATTCTTTTTACTTAGAGGCGTGAGATTGGAGGAAGAGAAAGGAGTTTCTAATAAACAAATTTAAATGAAGTAAAATTTTTATTTGTGAGCGCAATATCGAGAACCTTGGCAAACAATCTTTTCTTTTTCTATAGCAAATAATTACAATTTCAATCTAGACAAATAAGGATATTTAATACGTATACCGTACGTACTTTTAGTACATCAAACAATGGTGGCAAGAGCTGTAAATGAAATCAAATTTTCTACTATTGATCCAATAAAATTCTACTAAAATTATCATTACAGCGCGTGAATAGCGATAAAACTGACAATATACGATAATTATAAAGAATAACCAGATGTCATACCAGTTGTGAACAGTACGGTTCCTTTTCCTTTCTTTTTAGTCCTCTTCTTTTTGCCAAACGCATTACTTTCATCTTTTGCTTCTGAAAATAAGTTTGGATAAGTGATTAAAAAATGTGTACTCTTATAATGCCAAATAATTTATTTGGTTCCAATATGCGACTTACCTTCAGAAACATAAGTTTTCTTTCCATCTTCATTAATCGAGGTACCTGGTGTACCAGCGAATATTCCTGATTTAACAGGTGGCCAAGCATTAGTCGACTTATGCGTTTTTGACAATACTTCTTCGTCTCTGTTGAAGCATGCATTTGTCGTACCAGAGTGCGTCTTTGATTTTACGACCGGCCATGGATTGGCGGATTTATTAGACATTTTTGTTGGCATTGTTGATATCCGCTTTGTTATATCCGCGAATGTCCGAGTTTGTTCGCGTGAATGATCCGTTTCTTGTTTTGGAAAAATTTCTTCAAATGCACTTAAAGCTGGTGGACTACTAGCAATACTTGACATAACTGATTCAGAAGATGACAGAACGTTCTCGCTACATCAGAATATGATAAATAAAATTATAATTTTTGTACGACAGAATGCAATATATATAAAACTTAAACAAAATAACGATAAAATAAAGATAATGATTATTTGTGCTTACTTGGACAATTGTAATTCTGATTGCAATTGAGGAAAATGTTGATAGGATTCAATATCTATGTCGGGCGTTGGATATATGCCAATTTGTCTATTTTCTTCTTCGATTATCTTTTTCTCTCTCTTTCTTTCTTCGCGTTCTCTTTGTTCTCTGTACTTCTGTCTCGAATTTAGTTGTTCTAATAAAAAAAAAAACAATATAAATCAACAATTGAATAGTATTACAAATTTCTAATATAAATCATAAAACAAAATATTATAAATAATCACCATGAAAAGCACGAAGGACTTCCTCTGATACCAATGGTGGTTTTAACTCTATTTCAGCCAATTCAAATGGACAAGTAACTGGTAAGTGGCAAAGATAACGTAATCTTCGTCTTAACTCTTCCGTGTAGATGCTTGCTTCCTTTTCGAGAAGCTTGCCTGTAATTACAGGAGGACAGTATTCCAAACTGCCATACTGCATTTCCAGCATTTTCACATTCGCCGCGTGTAGATACAGATGTTGTCCATCCTCCGCTAAAAAAAAAAGTTTATTAATATAATACTATAATCACTGAAATATTTCGGTTTTCCAACAAGACAAATAATGCAATATTACATAGTCATCCTAATAACATTGACGAACAAAAACGAAATGATTTACTATATCAGTTGTGCTTCTGATTCGAAAATGCCTAGTATCATATAGCATAAAAGATTAAAAATTAAATTTTTTAGTTTGCAAAATTACTTACCTTGGTAAAAGTAAGAAAATTTGCTAGAACTTGAAGCAGTCTGGCTATCACTGGAAACACTGTCTGTCGAAGACTGTTTTGCTAAAGATTTGTCATCATCTTTGCATGTATCAACATCTACTTCATATTTTTGCGATGTTTCTTCAACAATTTCTTTTTCTGTTATATTTTCAGTTAATGGAGCATCTTTAGATTCTGCGATCTAACATATATTTTATATTTTTTATTATTCTGTTATGTGGAATAATGGGTATATAATTATACGGTTAATATTACCTGCCACAATAGTTTTTCTTTCCTCTTTGATAGTTCACTGAGCGCTTGCTTGATATCAGGACCCATAGCTGGATTAATCTTCAACTCAAGTTCTAATTCTGAATTCTCACACTCTATGATGTTCACAATCTGAAGAGAATTTTTATTCACAACTATTACTGTTGTATGTACATAATAAATAATTTTTAATATACTTTTTTTAACTTACATCATTCACATTTGCGATAAGAAGTTTCGAATATATTTGATTATCAGCATTCTCCGAAACTGACAAAAACGTCGTTGGGGATCGAACAGCAGATTTCACAGGCGTTGCAAACAAAGAATTCTTTTCACGACGCATCAAACATAGATTGACTGTTTCGCCCAAATTAAATAACCTGCGCGTAATCTCAACCACGCTAAAAGATATGTATATAAAATAATTAAAATATTTTCATAAACTTCATGTAATATGTATTTATTATAATTTTACGCAAAATTACCTCTTCAAATCATTTTTGTGAAGATATTCATCGCAAATCGGACATTTGTAATTGCCTGTTTCTTGACAATAACGTAAATAACGGAGAATACAAGGCCAGCAATAAACATGACCACAGCGAGTCATTTTGCCTGCGACTGGTGGATGTAAACAAATAGGGCACGAGAGATTTTCTGAATTGTGTAATATCTGTAATAAATTAAATCAGATTTAATGTACTCATATATCAACATGTATGCTGATTTGTAATGAAAAAAACACTTACAATTTGTTCAATCGATTTCCAATCCACGAGAATATCTGGGTTAGTCAAATGCAAGGAGTAATCTCTACTTGCAGTCACAACAAATTGGCAACTAGCAATACACATAAAAATATATAAGAGTATATCATTTTTAATATAGTTTTATAAAAATTATTTTTATATACTTATTGTTAATATCAAATATATAAGTTTGAATATTACGTGAATATCTCGACACTCAATTTGCATGACTAAGAAATCAAGTAACCGGATTTCAAGATTCTGTCCGAAAAATGTTAAATGAAATGTAACATAATGTGTGTGTATGTGTGAATTCTACATAAAATAATCCTACTGAGCAACGCTGTTGTCTGAGAAACATTTCCACATAAATAAGCTACAATAGATTTATAAAATATCTTATATATGTATAGTTTTTATACATTAAATGAACTGGCTCTATTTACTTTAAGTAACAGAAAATGTATGACTTTGATCCGGATAATATCTGAGAATTTATTAATAAAAGATATCAGGAGAAAAATAAAAAGCACCTATTTATATTGTATTACTACCTAGCTTGTACAAATTGTTCCTTGTTGTATTTATGCCGCTGCACTGGTGGCAGCAATCTATTACTGTTGGAATTATGTCTCCCTACATCCCTGTTTTGTGCATCTCGCATCACATATCGCTCGTAGTGAAAATTCAGCAAATGATTGCCGTTCTTTTTGCTTCTTTGAACCAATACTGAGCCATACTCAGGCATCTTCTCCTCCACTACCTATAAATATGAAAATTATATAAAATATGATAATAAACTAAAAGAGGAGGAACATAATTCAAATGTAGACTCGACCTTGGAATTCTCCTCTGCACTGCCATGATATTGTCCTTTAGGTCTCTGTCTCTTAACAAGATCTTTTGCTTTCTGTACATTGTACCTTGTCGGCTGTACATCATCAGGGACGTTATTGGCGCCAGCAAGTTCTCTTCTGCGCAAAGTTCCCAGATGGAGCTCATTATTGACATCTGAAAGGACACACATCACAACGAAAAATACATAAGATGGCAAGAAGCACTAATAACAGCTTGTTTATTCGAATTAAGGCTCTCTGAGCAAGTGACCTTGAGGACATACCTTTGTTCTTTCTGGCATCAGCAGTAGTCCCCCTCGCAGGGGACAGCGTAAATTTTGACTTTATATCCATTTGCGAATCGACTGTAGTCAGTCTGGTAACTCGCCTCGTCGCAGCTGCAGTCTCCTCCATCTCCTCTCCTCGGAGAAACGATATTTTTGCGCGCACCCTTCATCTTCTTCAATAAGCCATGTTTCGTCAGTGCCAAAGTAGTAAAATGTGTCTCGATGTGACGACGGCCGGCAGTTGATGCGGTGCTGCACAGGGATGACGCGAACAGCGGTGAGCGAAACGCTCGTTCTCCAGGGAGCAGTCGGCCTCCCCTT